ATTTTCTACAGACAGTAAGTAATGAAACTGAATCTCTTGTTCATATACAAGAAAGATACAATAACAATTTAACAGAAGTAAGTTGTCAATCATTTTTAATGAAACTGCTCAAATGCACAACTGGATATACAGTCCCCTCCAAAAGTATTTGAACAGCAATGCCAATTCCTTTGTTTTTGTTGTTCACTGAAGACATTTGGGCTTAAGAATTTCAGCTTTTATTTTCTGGTAATTTCATTTAGATGTGTTAAACAACTTAGAACATACCACCTTTTCTTTGAACATACCCATTTTTAAAGTGACCAAAACTAATGGAACAAATGACTGACAGGTGTTTCTTATTGCCAATGTGTTGGCTTTTAGATTGACTGTTTAAACATTAAATAGTTCTCAATGACTACTCTTGATTTTAGGCTTGGGTTTCACCTGTAAAGACTGCATTTCTTGTTAAAAAAGATAACACTATGAAGATGAGAGAACTGTCTATGGGAGAAAAGCAAGCCATTTTGGACCTGAGAAAACAAGGAAACTTGATCAGAGCCACTGGGCATAGCCAACACAATAATTTGGAATGTCCTGAAAAAGAAAGAAATATTGGTGTACTGAGCAACGGGCACAGAACAGGTCGGTCAAAGAAAACAACAGCAGTTGATGACAGAAACATTGTTAGAGCTGTGAGGAAAACCCCCAAAACAACAGCCAGTGACAATATTTATTCTGCAATTTATAACAGAAATGTGGCACAAGGCCAGTGACATCACCAACAAGCTCTCCAGGGTGCAGAGGTTATGGTTTGACAATCCACTGTTCAGAGAAGACTTTGAGAACAGAAATATAGAGGCCATACCACAAGATGCAAGCCATTTATCAGCAGTAAGAATCAAAAGGCCAGATTGGAATTTGCAAGAAAGTACAGAGATGATCAACCAAACTTCTGGAAGAATGATTTATGGACTGATGAGACCAAGATTAATCTCTACCAAAATGATGGAATGGCCAAAGTGTAGAGAAAGAAAGGATTTGTTTATGATCCTAAGCATACAAGCCCATCTGTGAAGCATGGTGGAGGCATTGTTTTGGCTTGGATCTGCATGGCTGCACTTGGAACTGGCTCATTTATATTTATTGATGATTTAACTCATGATGCTAGTAGCAGAATGAATTCAGAAGTCTACAGAAACATTTTGTCTGTCAATTTACAGAGAAATGCATTCAAATTAATTGGGTGGAATTTTATTATGCAGCAGGACAATAATCCAAAACATACTACCAACATAAGGAAGGACATCATCAGGGGAAAAACGTGGACAATTTTAGACTGGTCAAGTCATTCACTGGGCCGTAATCCAATAGAACATGCATTTCATCTCTTAAAGAGGAGACTGAAGGAAGAACCCCCCACCAAAAAAACCAAACCAGAACTGAAAGAAGCTGCATTAAAAGTCTAGAAAAGCATCACAAATGAAGAGTGTAACAGTCAAGTTGACGTCAATGGGTCGCAGGCTTGATGCAGTCATTGCAAGCAAGGGTTACGCAACCAAATATTAAATGTTATTTACTTTAAGACTATCTGTACCTTTACTTTTCTTCACCTAAAAATGGTGGGGGGTCTGATACAAAAGACGGTATGTCCTAAATGGTTTAACACATCTAAATGTAAATATCAGGAAATAAAAACTGAAATACTGAACTCTGGTCTTATAATCATCATTTGATCTTAAACAATGGTGATCTTTATTTAAGTCCAAGTCATAGTGCAAGTCATGGCCAGAAGTAGAAGCCTGTCTCAAATCTCATCATTCCACTGGGAGTGGAAATCTTTAGGTTTGGTTTGGATTTTTGTTTGATTTGGCTTTTTGCATTTTCTATTTGAAATAACTTTAGCTGCTTTCATTTAAGTAAGCATAAAATTTATTCATTTCATTTCTTTCAGACTTGATAAATTATTTTATGTTTTCATTGCAAAAGCAAATTTTTTTCTGTGAAATTCACTAAAGAAATTTAATTTATAAAAACTGGTCTTGTTACTTGGAAGTTAATTTAACATTTTTCATATAAAGTTAAAATTCTTCTCTATGCAAATACACTGGTATTTATTTTTTATAAAAGAAAATACACTGGTATTTATTTTTCATACAAACAAATACACTAGTATTTATTTTATAGAAACAAATACACTGGTATTTATTTTTATACAAACAAAATACACTGGTATTTATTATCTATAAAAGCAAATACACTGGTATTTATTTTTCATAAAATCAAATACACTGGTATTTTTTTATACAAGCAAATACACTAGTATTTATTTTTTATAAACACAAATACACTGGTATTTATTTATTTTTTAAAGCAAATACATTGTATTTATTTTTTCGTAATTTGTGTTTTTCTTTCTAACAAATGAAAAAGTAAGTTAAATTCTTACCACGCTTATTTTCTGAAATGTGACATTTTAATTTTACTCAGTTTAAAAAACTAATTTATTAATTCAACTTTTTCCTCATCTTTCTTATTACAAATTTTGCAAAGTTTCTCCCCAAAAAGTTAATTTTAATAATGCTTTATGTTTAATTTTTAACAAGCTTTTTCACTGGACTTTTTCTTTGATTTTTTTTTAAACAGTGAAATTTATTTAAAAATGCTTTTATTTGGTAAATAAAGTTTTGTTTTTTCCCCTGATATTGTTATTCATAACAAATATATTGATGATAAAATTTAATCTTCTATGAGTAATTTGTGTTTTTCTTTCTAAAAGTTGCATTATTTACATTATTTGGACTGTTATACTCATTTTCAATGCCATATTCACGTTTTGGCTTATATATCTCTGAGATGAGGTATTATGATTACTTGCATTATTTACATTATTTATTTGGTGGACAAAATAAAAGTTTTGGTTCAAAACTCCAATCATCTGTAGAAGATTGGAGCACACAACAGCCGAAACATTGTGAATATGGCAATGAAAATGCAAATAACAGTCTGAATAATGTAAATAGTGCAAGCAAACTTTTATGGACACATAGCAACTGCTGGATTTACAATTGTGCATTTTAAGAATTCTGAATGAATAATAAACTGTTCTACATGCACAACATTACCTTCTCCCATTGACAGAGAGAGAGAGAGTCTGTTAATGCACCATGTGTCAGATTAATGGTTTGTCTCTTTTATTATCTTACATAATATATAAAATACAGAGTCTCCCTTGTTTAAGTTGGTGAATACTGGCATAATCCTTGTCTTCAGTTCACGTTGATATTACAAGGGGTCATGTGATCACAGAAATTATCTGACAGCCATGACTGTGTACTCCTGCTTCTGTGACATGTTGCAGAGCCCTGTTAACAGATATAGTTTCTTCCAGCAGCCACCCCTTGGACCCAGGGCAGTACTACCTCCTCAAGGCATTTGATGTAGGCCTATGTGTTGAGTCTAAGGCTCTGTGGGAAGATGAATTTATCATCATTAGTGATCACTCCAAACACCTTCGTAATCACCATTAGACTCATCCAACTCTTTTCAAATTCTCAGCACTGTCCTCAGATTGACAACCAAACACTCTAAAATGTTTGGATTGGAGCTTCCGGTGTGTATGCCAAGAAGTACAGCATGATGTTTCCAGATTTCTGGTAAAGTGAATTGTTTCATGGTGACCTTTTCCTCAAAGATGATGTCCAAATGATTCTACTTGATTGCACAAAATCAAAAACAAACAACACGAATGCATGAAATTAAAAATGTAAAATGCCGATAATTTATCCATTGCACCCTGTATTCATTGTTGGCCTGATCTGGCTCTTTGCAAGAGCCAGATCAGGCCAACAATGAAGTACTGTTGTCATATTTGAGTGAGAGCTGCCAAGACTGTGCTTTTCAAATTCAATAGAAGCCAAAAGCATCTTTGAGTTCTTGTGGGTCCTTGTGGATGATGAATTACTTTCCAACCTTCAAACTCTCTCACAGGTGGGATATGGCAAGCCTCTCGTTGCTTTATCAACACTTTCATGGAAAGTGTTCAGACAAACTACATTTATTGGTTTTGCCAGGCCTGACTTTCATGGCAAGGATGCACCATATCTACATTGTAGCAAACCACCTACATTCCCTTCATATTCCATCGGTAAGAAGTAAGTTCTACTCAAAGAGCTTCTTCCTGGAAGCCACTGCTCCCTCTAACCAACTTTGATTACTAAAATTTTAACCTGTTGAAGTTTAGGGTTAATCATTATCTTCCCCTTTCTATCCACAGAAACCACCTCTTAATGTAACCCTTTACATTGAGTGGCCTGCAGGCATTGTACAGGTAAGGCTCTTTATATATATCCCACACATAAAAATATATAGGAAAAAGAAGTTGAAATTGGAACTGATGTCATTAAGAATATTTATTTAAAGTAACTTTAATGGTTACCCATTTCTATGATTATCAAAAGTTACATTGAGATGCAGAGATATGTGGCTATGCAATAATCTGTTTCACAACTGACTGGAGTTGGAGAATTCTTTCTGTTTTATGCTGAAAATAGTGGTTTGGATTGCTATTTGTTTAAAATATATAAAACAAAGATTGTGTTTAGCCAAAAACAAATAAAAACAGTTGACCAATTTAATGTTCTTCAGAAAACCCATGGTAAGGGTAGATAAGTGAACATCTGATTCTATTAGGTTAAACTGCTTACCCTGAAGATCCCCTTAGGTGAAACCTAGGTAGGTAGTTGCTGGCCCTTCAGGATTTTTCATTTTCTGCTCTACTTAATGTACTGGGCACCTTACATTTTATCTTATTTACTCAATTTGTTTTCTTCTTTGGACTGGAAATTAAGGCAATGGACAATTTGTTTTCATCCTGCTTGGATGTTTCTAGTTCTTTTTTTTTCCAATTTTTTTCACAGATAAATCTGGGTTTTTTCTTCATGAACCGAGAAAGAATGATGAAAGGGGGAAATGGAATAAATAAAAGAAAGTTATAGCAAGGCATATTTTCTGACTAAATATCAAGAGACAATCTTTGGATTATGGAAAAACAGTTTATAGAGAAAAAAGGGGCAATCACAGCAAAAGTATTGGAAAGACCAGAAAGGATTATAGAAGGAATGGTTTAAAGAGAGAAAGAAAGTGAGAAAAGTAGAGAGAAGAAAGGAAAAAAGAAAAAAATAAGGAAGGAAGGAAGGAAGGAAGAGACAAAAAAATAAGGAAGGAAGGAAGAGAGAAAAGAAGAGGGAAGAAAGGAAGAGAATAAAGAAGAGGGAAGAAAGGAAGAGAGAAAAGTAGAGAGAAGAACGGAAAAGACTAAAAAATAAGGAAGGAAGGAAGAGAGAAAAGAAGAGGGAAGAAAGGAAGAGAGAAAAAAGAAGGAAGGAAGGAAGGAAGGAAGAGAGAAAAGAAAAGGGAAGAAAGGAAGAGAGAAAAAATAAGAAAGGATGGAAGAGAAAAGAAGAGGGAAGATAGGCAGAGTGAAAATTAGAGAGAAGAACGGAAGAGAGAAAAAATAAGGAAGGGAGGAAGGAAGGAAGGAAGGAAGGAAGGAAGAGATCATAAAGGAAAAGATAAGAAAGGAAGAGAGAAAAGGATAGAAAGAAAAGGGAGAAAATAAGAAAGGAAGAGAGAAAAGAAGAGGGAAGAAAGGAAAAGAGAAAAAAATAAGGAAGGAAGGAAGGAAGGAAGGAAGGAAGGAAGGAAGAGAGAAAAAATAAGGAAGGAAGGAAGAGAGAAAAGAAGAGAGAAGAAAGGAAGAGAATAAAGAAGAGGGAAGAAATGAAAAGAGAAAAGAAGAGGGAAGAAAGGAAGAGAGAAAAGTAGAGAGAAGAAAGGAAAAGATAAGAAAGGAAGAGAGAAAAGGATAGAAAGAAAAGGGAGAAAATAAGAAAGGAAGAGAGAAAAGAAGAGGGAAGAAAGGAAGAAAGAAAAGTAGAGTGAAGAAGGGAAAAGAGAAAAAAATAAGGAAGGAAGGAAGGAAGAGAGAAAAGAAGAGGGAAGAAAGGAAGTGAATAAAGAAGAGGGAAGAAAGGAAAAGAGAAAAGAAGAGGGAAGAAAGGAAGAGAGAAAAGTAGAGAGAAGAAAGGAAAAGAGAAAAAATAAGGAAGGAAGGAACAGTGAAAATTAGAGAGAAGAAAGGAAGAGAGAAAAAAATAAGGAAGGAAGGAAGGAAGAGAGAATAAAGGAAAAGATAAGAATGGAAGAGAGAAAAGGATAGAAAGAAAAAGAGAGAGAAAAGGAAGAAAAGAAGAGAGAAAAGAATAGGGAAGAAAGGAAGAGAGAAAAGTAGAGAGACAAAAGGAAGAGAGAAAAGTCAAGAGAAGAAAGGATGAAAGAAAGGGAAAGAAAGGAAGAGAGAAAAGAAAAGGATGAAAGGAGAAAAAATAAGAGAAAGGAAGAGAGGAAATAAGAGAGAAAATGAGAGAGGAAGGAAGAGATTTTCTATGTGCCATGTCCTTTCATACCATTGAAGATCAATACTCTCCAAAATTTCCTCTCATAGCTCTCAATTAATTTTGTCTATTTGTCTCTCCTAAGCCCTGTTCTGACATTCATTTGCTCAAGTTTTTTAAGTAGGTTATACATTGTTTCCCTCTTGCCATCTTGACTTCAATCTATCCTGTGAATATCAATCTTTCCAAATCCTCTTTCCTCTTTATGTAACCTGTAAATTTCAACTGTCTCTTCATGATGATAAGTGCCCTTTTGTTTCCATTTTCTCCAAAGAACAAAAAAAGATAGAAAAGAAACAGAAAAAGAGAAACAAGCTACAAAGGTTAGGAAATATAAATAAAAGAGAACAATATTAGTTATAAAAATACCTTTTGACTTAAAAGAAATTGTATTTTCAAGTTTAGTTCATAAAAAATGCAACATTCCAAATACAGTTTTATCAAAGTAAGCTGACCTGTTAGAACTGTTTTAAAACTGTGTAATTGCCCAGTATAAATTCCAGAAAAAATGAAACTTCTGTATTTACTGAAGTCCTCAAGGGAGGATGTGTCACAAGGCTGGCTTTTAACATGCGGCATTCCAAGCCCATAGTCTTGGGCAAAAATATCCCATAGACCCTCCATACACGGGATTGGATTTGTCTACTTCCCCAAATGAGACTCTGCCCCTCAGCATAGACTTGTTTGGGTTTCTCAACTTCTAACAAATGAAACTTCTCTTTGAACAAATTGTTAGAAGTTCTTATAGAAAAGGGTGGACTCATTTTTAATTAGCAGGTAAGACAAGGTAATTTAACAATATTTGTTAACTAAGGAATAAGAGTTCACCTTGGAGCAGAGCTAGCAAGAACAAACTAAAGTAACACAATCTATCATATATCCATGTTATGGCTGAAATAGTTATGAATTTTGCACAGATGCCAGAGATCAGATAAAAAGGATAAACAGGATTTTGTGAGCTGATTTTCTAGGCAAGCGAGCCCTTCCCAGTTCGGAGGTTGCTGCATAAAGAAAAAAATTTCAAGTTGAATTTCTTTGTTGCATTCAAGAAAAAATATTTCCATTTCCACATTCAAATATATGTTGCTATTTTTCTGGCCTTCTACAGAAGAACATTGGGAGATTTTTGCTAACCACACCCTAAGAAAAAAAATCCTTTAACTTTTCTATTAAAAGTTATGGGTGCTAGACATTTTGTCTTTCTGATTAGGCCAAATAAATTAAACTTAGTAATTTCTGATTGAATTTCTGGGCTGAGGTTTTATCTTTGTTTATACATGGAGTAAAATATAGAAAGGGTCAGTCTTCATATCAAGTTCAACAGGTTTGACAAAGTAAAACAGACAACTGTTCTTGAAAAATGTTACATAGAGCAAGGTATATAAGTTTTTATGTCTCCAAAACAAAACTGCTTTCATTTAATTACCATAGAGAACGTTTTCTGCCTGCCATCTGTATGGCTGATGCTAACCTCCAGGAGAGCAACTCTTTGCACCTTCCTGCACTCACATGAAGTGGAGTGATTATATTGAATCATATCTTATGTCTACTGTTATGAAAGTTGGTTCAATGTTGTACCAGACAATTTTTGTTGTTTGAATCCATCTTGCACATTTCTAAATTTGCCATTCAGCTGTACACTGAATACAGCTGCCATATCAGATCTAGTGTCCTTGTTATATATCTCAAGATTTTTGATAACATCCAAAGAAGGTTCTGTCATGTAATTAATTCTTACCTGGTATCTTGATTTCAGTGACTTTCTCACCAATGTAATATGGCTTTCTTCTGTCTTTTCTACAAATATTTTCATGGCAATTGTTCTGATGAAATTTTTTTCTTCAGTGCCTTAGCTCCAGGAATTTATATGTGCTACTAGATTGGCAACTAGGTCTCACCATTTTACTGTGGAACTGGCTATATATAACTGTATGTTCTATTCTGATATTTTTTTTCTTGCACTTCTTACCTGTGGAACTCCCTTCTGATTTCTTGCTTCCCTGTCAAATACAATCTTTAAAAATTTAAATGCAAGGCCAATTTCCATCTTGTCTTCGTGAAACCTATCATTTTATTGTCCTTTCTCCTCACTAAGTTCTTCTTGGCCTCTTTCATGCTCATTAACCCCTTGCATCTTAGTAGCATTATTGCCTTGCTTGAAGGAAAATAAAAAAATGAAGAATTACATTTTTAAAATATTATAAAAAATTAATAAATTCTAAATTAAATAACTCCTACATGAAATGTATGTATGTATGTATGTATGTATGTATGTATGTATGTGTGTGTGTGTGTTATTAAATTCTTGACAAAATTCAAGGAAGGGTCTCTAATGTAATCAATCCTAACCTGGCATCTCAATTTCAGTCTCATTCTCACCAAGGTCGTGTGGCTTCCCTCTGTCTTTTTTACAAATATTTTCATGGTGATTTTTCTGATGAATTTGGTACCTTAACTGCATGAATTTAAGTATACTAATAGATTGGTAACTAGGTCTCACCATTTTACTGTTGAACTAACTAGGTGCAAGCATATGTTATATTCTAACAGTATCTTTTTCTCACACTTCTCGCCTGTGGAATTCCCTTCAGATTTTTTGCTTCCCTGCCAAATACAATCTTTAAAATTTATTTTCACTATAGAAACACATTGCAGATTATATTACTATAGAAATGCATTCCAGATTATTTAATTACAAGCATAATACCCATTAAAACTGATGGAATTATTTACATATGGATCAGCATTTGCTTAAGATTAAAGGATCTGTGATCACTGACTAGGGTTAAAGTGATGATACCAGCAACTAAGAAAACAGGATCATATATATATATATATATATATATATATATATATATATATATATAGTGAATATATATATATAAACACTTATGGCAACAGTCAATTCAGGCAACATGGCCTGTTTCATGCATATACATGACTCAGACGATTGGCCTCTAAGTGTTGACTTCTATGTTTACTTTTATATATTTACACGCTCTATCTCTGATATTGAGCACTTTATTCCATAGATATAGCATATCTTAAGACTATATTTCTTTATATATATATATATATATATAGAGAGAGAGAGAGAGAGAGAACTGTTTTCTTTGTTGATGTAAGACTGCGATTAATCTTATACAAAACAAGGCAGGTTTTGCCTGACATAGGATTCATCGTAAGGATTTAAGGTAAGGTTTTTACAAGGCCAGATGTTATTCCTGATGCACATCTTAGATAATCATAGTAGCCCAAGTACACTAATAGATTGGCAACTAGGTCTTGTCATTTGAACTAACTAGATGCAAGCATATATTCTATTCTAATAGTTTCTTTTGTTGCACTTCTCGCCTGTGGAACTCCCTTTCAATTTTTTGCTTCCCTGCCACCTAGAATCTTATAAAATTTAAATGCAATGCCATTTGACATCTTCTGTCTTCATGAATTTTGTTCTCTTATTGTCCTTTGTTTTCACAAAATTCTTCTCATTTTCTTTCAGCCCTAGTGACCCCTTACATCTTAGTGGCATTATCACCTTGCTTGGGGTGAAAAAAAAGGTTAATATGTTTCATCTCCATGGATTTATTCAACCATTATAATAAAGCAATGCTGACAGAATTGGAAATACTACCAAGATTTATTATTGGTGGCCACATTCTTAACAACATTAGATATGTACATGATACAGTATTGATAGCAGACACAGAAAGGAAACTACAGCAACTTCTATAGAAGATAGTAAAGGAAAGCAAGAAGAAAGGACTAAACATCAATTGTAAGAAGACAGAATCAATGATTGTCATGAAAAGAAACAGTACAACGTGTGAATTACAAACTGGAGCTAGTAAGATTAAAAAAGTACAACAATGTAGATATCTTAGAAGTGTTTTAAGTGATGACAAAAAATGCAAAACCAACATTTAAAGGTACATTGGGATAGCAAAAGAGGCCTTCCAAAAGCTAAGCAAAGTATGAAGAAGCAAAAAGATTTTGTCAGAAACAAAAAAAGAGTACTAAACTGTTATTTAATATCAGTCCTCCTATATGGCAGTGAAAGTTGGACAATCAGACAAAGTTGAAGAGAAAACTTGAGATGAGAGAAATGTTGTTCTACAGAAGGATGCTGAGAATGCTAGGTGAGCAACGACAAAATTTTTGAGAAAATGGAAACAAAATGACACATATATGTAGCATCAGAAAGAAAAATTTAAATTTCTAGGGCAGATAATAAGGAAAGAAAGCTTGGAGAATTTAACACTCACAGGAGATATTGAAGATAAAACGGATAGAGGAAAGTACCACATAACCTACGTAATGAGCTTGGATATGTGGTTGGCAGAACATGGATTAGGAGATTTAGCAAAAAGACAAAAGTTACAAAGGACAGAAAGTCGTGGAGAGCCATGAGCGCCAACATCCTGAAGTACATTGCCCATAGAAGAAGACACAGATTATTTCCTGGAAAGTAAAATGATATAAATGTGATAATAACAATAAAGATGAGGAGAACAGTCTGTTTAGTAAATATCAAGATTTCTAGATTGATGTAATCTAGCAACAACACTAAGTCAAAACTTATGAAGCTTTATTTGACTAATTTAGCTTTAGTGCTGAAAACGTTTATTTATCATGGTGGATGCTTACAAGTAAGTGGGGAGATGGGATATGTTTATTCTTGGTCTTACCTTCCAGATGATCGGTGCAACACAGTCTTATTAATCCTTTACCACACACACACACACACACACACACACACACACACACCAATTAAATTTCTAACTTGGCCTTGTTACACTAAATTTTACTGAGCAAACATAAAAGAAAAAAGAAAAAAACAATGAAAATAATCTGTGTAATAATGAAAAAAGGAAGAGAAAAGAAAACAATTGATTAAAAGATGTGGACAGAAAAGTTTCAAGAGTAAAAGAAAAGGAAATATTATGAAAGAGAGGAGGTAGTAAAAGAAAAAGGAAGTATCATGAAAGAGAGGGAGTAGTAAAAGAAAAAGGAAATATTATGAAAGAGAGGAGGTAGTAAAAGAAAAGGAAATATTATGAAAGAGAGGGAGTAGGAAAAGGAAAGGCAGTATCATGAAAGAGAGGAGGTAGTAAAAGGAAAGGAAGTATCATGAAAGAGAGGAGGTAGCAAAAGAAAAAGGAAGTATCATGAAAGAGAGGAGGTAGTAAAAAGAACAAATTAAAAAAATGAAGGTAACGATTTTCTTTTTTTAATGAAAACAGAAAAAATTAGAAATAACTTGAGGAGAAGAATGACGACTGTGACAGATTCTTCATAAAGTTAGATTAAAATAGAGAATAATGATTGGAATGGCATGAAAGGAATCAAAAACAGATATAGATAAAAGTTCCATCTACATTTTGCCTGACTTTAAAATAAAGATGTTGAATACAAGAAAAGAAGGAAGTGTATGTATGTTTTTATTATTTTTACTTTTGAAGCAAACAGCTGTAATTAGTTTGAGAGGACAGTGGCAAGAAAAGTTTTAATTTCTATCTTAAATTGGATTCTGTTTCATTTCTTTGTTATTTGTCAAATGACCAATTAGAATTGAAGGACAATAGGGCTGGGCTGACGAGGAAGAAAAAAGCTGGAGGATAATAATACGAATAGATAAGGAGGAAAAGATGTGATAGGTAGAGAAAAAAAAGAGAGTGAAAGGCAGAGAGAAATGTGTAAAAATAATCAAGAATTAAGAGATAAGGTGAGTGTGAGAGAAAAAGGATAATAGAATTAAGAAGTAAGAGAAGAAAATGAGGAGAGAAAGAGAGAAGTGTGAAAAAGAGTGAAGAAGTAAAAAAGAAGGTGAGCGAAAGAAAGAGAAGTGGTAAACATATTAAAAATTATGAGAAGAGGGGAAGAGAAAGTGACAGACAGAATCAGGGGGTAAGAATGAATTAGTGAGAAGAAGAGTGAGAGAGAGATGGTAAAAGTATTAAGAAATATGACAGGAGGGGAGAAGAGAAAGATAGTGATGTGAAAAAGAATGAAGTTAGAGAGAAAAAAAGTGAGAGAGAGTTGATAAATGTATTAAGAAATATGACAGGAGGAGGAGAAGAAAAATAGAGAGATATGAAAATGAATAAAGTGAGAAGGGGAGTGAGAGAGAGAAGTGATAAAAGTGTGAATACATATGAGACGAGTAGGAGGAGAGAAAGAGAGATAAGAAGAAGAATTAAGGATTAAGTGAGAAGGTGAGCGAGAGAGATGATAAAAGTATTAAGAACATGAGTGAAGGAGGAGAAAGAAAGAGAGAATATGAAAAAGGATCAAGGAATAAGTGAGAAGAAGAGTGAGAGAGAGAGAGACAGATGATAAAAGTATTAAGAAATATGAGAATAAAGAATAGAGAAGAAAAGGGAAGAGATTAAGAAATAAAAGAGGAGGAGGGAAAGAAAAATAGAGAAAGAGGTTAAAAGGATTAAAACATGAGACAGAGAAACAAAGAAACAAAGAAACAAACAAAAGGACAAAAGAAAGAAAGAAAGAAAGAAAGAAAGAAAGAAAGAAAGAAAGAAAGAAAGGGAGTAGATAAGAAAGAAAGAAAGAAAGAAAGAAAGAAAGAAAGAAAGAAAGAAAGAAAGAAAGAAAGGGAGTAGATAAGAAAAAAAGAAAGAAAGAAAGAAAGAAAGAAGGACAGAAAAGAAAGGGAGTAAATAAAGAAAGAAAGAAAGAAAGAAAGAAAGAAAGAAAGAAAGAAAGAAAGAAAAAGAAAAGGAGTAGATAAGAAAGAAAGAAGGAAGTGGATAAAGAAAGAAAGAAAGAAGGAAAAAAGAAAGGGAGTGGGTAAAGAAAGGAAGGAAGAAAGAAAGGAAGAAAGAAAGAGGGAGTTGACAAAAAAGAGTGAAAAATTGTGAGAAAGAAAGAGAAAGTGTATGAATGTTCAGGGATAACACATAAATGCGAGAAAAAGATAGAACTAGAAAAAATCCGTCGTCGTCAGCATCCGTCCGTCTCAAGAGATGATGGAGTAGTGCAGTGCACTACGAGCCTGGGCGGGATATATGGAGAACTAGGGCTGCCCGGACGTCTAGTTACCCCTCTCGGTCTTGCTAGCAGAATCCAAAGGAGAGGATAAACCAATAGATTTTGGTACCAGCGCGGCTGCAGGAGTTGCCGGAAGGTAGCACAAAGTGCCGTCCATCCTCCTTAGTGGCTCCACTCCAGGTTTGAATTCACAGTTGTCCTTCTCCTAGACCAGTTGCCATCCAAAGCTATAAAACCCAGTCTGTCCTGCTATTTACCCATAGTTGGAGGGTGAAGGAGAGGATTCACCTTTCCCAAGGGTATTAGCACATAAGTGAATGAAATGGAATTTGAACTCAGCTCTCTGATTCTTCACTCCAAGCCGCTATTCATTACTCCACTCCTCCAAGAAGAAAAAAAAATAAGCTGCAGAAATGACATTATAATTAAAGAAATTTAAGAATTTAAGATATAATGGTAAAGGCACTGTGGAGTAATGGCTAGCAGCTTGAATTGAGGAAGCAGAGAGCCGAGTTCAAATTTCAGTGAATTCATTACATTTGTTTATTTGAAAACACCCTTAAGAAATATATGTATTCATTTCTTCTCCTTCTATGAGTACATGGCAAGACAGACTAGGTCCTATATCCTTGAGTGGCAACCAATGTAGAATTGTGAAATTCAGAAGCTGAGAAAAATAGTATTCTAGGAGAAGGAAAATTATGAATTCAAACCAGCCTGGAGATGGTTGGGTTCTGTCAGGTGAGCTTGACCAGGAAACACCATTGCTGCTGCAGATGCAGTATATGTAGTATTCCTATGATCTTGATGGGTTACCAGATTTGTATGTAAGATATAATAAAATGACATATGCTTTTCTGTTTCATGTGCAATCCAATATAGTGATTGGGTGTCAATCTGAAAACTGTGTAGAGGATTTAGAAAGAGTTGGGTGAGTCTAATGGTGATTATAAAAGTAGAGCAGCTCAGAAAACTCACTCTGATCATTCGAATAAGAAAAGAACTCCCAAATTTGTTGGTGAGGGACACAGACCCAACACAGAGGCCTACATCAAGTCACTGAGGAGGTTCAAGAGGGTGGCTGCTGGAAGAACTTATGTTTGGCAATAGGATTCTGCACCATGCCACACAAGCTGGAGAACCCAGTCATGGCTGTCAGACAATGTCCTCAACCACATCCCCACTTATATCTGGCCACCTAATTCTCCAGACTGAATGCCTTAAATAATTATGTGAGCAAGAGACCAACAAAATCCCTTGTGAAACCAAAGATGAACTGAAGGCAAGGATTATGGCAACATTGACCAATTTAAACAAGGAGACCGTTCAGAAGAGTTGCAGGAGATTCTGAATTCATCTGAAGGTTGTGGTTGAAGCCAATGACGATTTTATTGAATAAATTTACTCTTTAGTATTTTGAGATATTTTAGCGCAATTACTAATAAAATGAGATGTCAGTGTTATTTTCATTTTTTCATAAAAAGATTCTCAAAATACATATCTGCCAAGAAACAAAAAATTAATGGATTTTATTTTTGAATCTGACATATTTTTATTAATTTAAACGTTATTTTTAGTGGATATCTCTATCTTTTTCTGACTCATTTCACTCCAAGCAAGGCAATAAAGCCATTAAGACACAAAAGCTTCCCAAAATACATATCTGCCCAGAAACAAAGGATTAATGGATTTTATTTTTGAATCTGACATATTTTTATTACTTCAAATGTTATTTTTAGTAGATATCCACATTTGAGTCGACACACCATTTATATTAAACATTATTTTTTCTACCTGTCTACTCCAAATGGTGTAAGTTCTTCATGCTTGCCAGACAGTCACAATAAAAACTTCCTATCATTCAATCTGTATTAGGCTTTCTTTTGGACTAAGCTGAAACTAAATGTGAATATATTATACATTACTTCATGATGAACAACTTCTCCTGTAAGTTGCTAATCAAAGATACCCTTGTGATAAATTCACAATTTGGTGGGGGAAGGGGGCACGAGAAAAGTGGAGACCTTTCAGAAATGGTTCATCCCTAAATCTAAATTGCAGGATATTATGCAATGCTTTATATGCAAAACTCGCTATGTCTGAAACAAAGAAAAGATCAGAAATGTCATTAGTATGGATGGATCACGTGAAAAATGGTTTGTTAATGTAAAACTCCGTTAGCCTCATTTTAAAATATGATATTTTGAATGTGTCACCAAACCTTGAATATCTTTCATGAAGGCCAAGCTGATAAAGCCTAATTGGTGGCGATCTATCTTTCTTTTAATTGTCTGGGAAATGGTTGTCTTTTTGGTTTCACATCAACTAATATCTCTTTATATACAATTATGTCATGTAGACTATAATGCATTAAAAACAGAGAAGCAAGACATTTGTGATTATAGGAATGCTTACAAACACATATATAAATACAGAAATGTAATATGCTATACATATATATATATATATATATATATATATATATATATATATATATATATATTTATATGCATATATATATATATATATATATATACAGTGTAATTGGATATAAGAGACCTAATATAAGAGAAACCCGGATATAAGAGAAATTTTCTCTGGTCCCAAATTAGAGCCTGTGTTAATGTATATATAATAGACCAAACTCGGATAAAAAGAAACCCGGATATAAGAGACTTCTTCTCTGGTCCCGACAACTCTCTTATATCCGGGTTACACTTATACATATATATATATATATATATATATATATATATATATATATATATATATATATACATACACATATATATATATATATATATATATATGAATATATATATATATATATATATATATATATATATATATATATATATATAATATATATATATATATATATATATATATATATATACATATACACACACACATATATATACAGCATATGCATATATATACATATATATATATATATATAATATATATATACATATATATAGCATGTGAATATATATATATATATATATATATATATATATATATATATATATATATATATATATATATATATATATCCTTGAACACTGAATTCATAATACATATATATATATGTGTGTGTGTGTGTTCGTATAAAATATACAATGGGAAAAAGATGGCATTGTTAATAATGATAACAATGTCAATAAACTAGATAAAAACAAACATATAATAGTACCTACCAACTCGTTAACTTCTACTATCCAAAACAATTTATCCAATCTTAACAACATCAAAATAATTCCAACCACATCCAAAATTATTATGGATATGATCAGAAACCAAAATACCACAACAATAATAATTCTGAAGCAGGTATATATAAAATAAAGTGTCATGACTGCTCTTCACAATATATTGGGGGAACTTGCAGAAATTTAAAAAATATATCTATGAACAGGAAAAGGATCTTATACACAACTATTTATGAAATACATTAGTTATATATAGAAATAAATTCAACCACAACTTTGCACTAAATAATGTCATACTTATTAATAGAGAAAATGACTTAAACGGAAAATTCTCGACATTGCCACTATCGAATCTTTTCAAAATATAAATCTGCACCTCAGATTTTTTTCAATTACAAATTAGTACAGAATTTTAATATTTAAAAGTTTAGAAATTATTCTAATTAAAATTTTTAAGAATTGAAAACTTCTAAAAATTTCAGTATCTGTCTATATTTCTGAGATGAGTTATTATGTACACTATTTACATTATTCGGACTGTTGTCCTCATCTTTGTCGCCATATTTATTACAACGTTTCGGCCTTTCAGTATCTGTCTATATTTCTGAGATGAAGTATTATGTACACTATTTACATTATTCGGACTATTGTCCTCATCTTTGTTGCCATAATACCTCATCTCAGAAATATAGACAGATACTGAAAGACCCGAAATGTTGTGATAAATATTAACAACAAAGATGAGGACAATAATCCGAATACTGTAAATAGTGTTGTAAAAATTTATTATTATTGAATAAATTGTTTTTCTTAGAATAATTGTGTTTATAATATATTTTCTTCATAAAAGCAATTAAAAGTTTTTTCTAATTAAAAGTATGTCTCAGTTTAAATGCATTTTTGGTTTTATGATACAGGGCAGATTTTCTGTAACTGAAGATCCTGTTTGACTAAAAATACAATATAATATAAATATAAATATAATATAATATAAAAATATGATATAAATTTTCTGAGAAATTTTATAATAAACATAATAATAATAATAAGTGATACAAAAAAGAATTTCTTGAAATTTCATAAAATCAAATGAATGACTGTTGCAGGGGGGGGAGATGGGTGTCTATGGTGGGGGTTAATTGATGCAAACAAAAAAAATTTTTGACAAACTTTTTCTGAATAAAAGAAATATTTCAAATGTACTTTCCTTCAGTTTTGAATAAATTCTGAAAGTTTTATGAAAATCTGACAATTATCTGATTTTTGCAAGAATTTCCAAATGAACATGTTTTGCACCATAAAAAGATGATCAAATTACCCACACAAATTTCAGGTTACAACGTTAAAAAAACCAGGATTTTTAACTAAAATTTTCAATATTCTAAAAAGGATGAAAAAAATATTTACATCAAAACCATTTGATCTTCCTTGTTAATAATAATGGAAAAATCATGATGATAAATTTTTGTTTTTATTAAGTTTTTCAAATTTTTCAAATTTTTAGGGTACATAATGAGGAAAGAGAGCTTGGAAAATTTGATACTCACATGACAGGCTGAAGGTGATAGGGACAGGAAAACAATGCATAACCTTGCAAATTTGGGTAAATGGATGACAGAACAAGTTTTAGGATAGATAACAAAAAGACAAAATTTATTAAGAGCTACAAAGGACAGGAAGTTGTGAAGAACCATTGATCGCCAACATCCAGAAGGGGTAC